CAGGACCTTTGGTTTTTTTTGGTCCCAACCAAACGACTGGGCTCTTTTCCTTGCCAGGCCTTTTGTACTGCACTACTGACATGGGGAAACCATTAGGAACTTTCTTTGACAAAACTTACAAAGCCAGGATCAAACCCGGGACCTCCTGCTTAGTGAGTAAGCACCATCCTTAGCAAGCCACCACGGCTCCGAAACCCTAATGCTACCAGAAGGATCTAGTTTGACATCTGCAGTCAGATAAGTAGAATATCAGTTTAATGATTGTTTTATTCAAATAAATGTGTACGTACATTACTTTTTGACATGATTCATATTAGAAATTTTTTTAATAATAAGATGGTTATCGCGCATTTGAAGAGTACGACCATCACTTTTGATTTTTTGTTTTATTTTATCCACGAAACTTCTTCAGGGAGTGGTTTTTGTTTTCAAAAAATCCTTGAAATATATTTTAATTTCGTTTATTTCCTTTTCCGACCATCTTTGCCTCTTTTTAGGAGGGGGGGCGGGCTTCTTCTTCATCATTGTTTTCTGTCTCTTCTGGAATATCCATTTCTTCCGGAACAGAACTAACATAAAGATAATTATAACCACAAAATAAATCTTATTAAATGCACTAAATTTGTGTGTTGTTCATAATTCATAAAGAATTCAAGTTGAACAGAAGTCCTCAGACAATCCACAATTAAGTAGCAAATAACAGATTTTTATACAGATTCAAAATGTTAATTCTGTGTGTTCTCCTCAATTGCAGATGAGAGAGAGAGAAATGGGGTTTAACGTCCACTTAACACCAACTAGATCAATTCGGGACTAACATGTGGTTCCATTTTATTTCAATATTCGCTTGCGCGTTGGGGTCTTTAGCAGTGGGAGGAAACCGGAGGGCCCGGAGAAAAACCACGAGATTGGACATGCGACGCTACTCCGTGTCACGTAGAATTGTGGGATCAGAAGGAATGGGGTTTAACGTCTTACTGTTCTGCTCCGACTGGGCTAATGAAGACGGACATACGCCATACAGTGTGCTATGAGGGAAAGTTTGCCCGGACAGCTGAGCTACGGCCTACTCTTATATTGAATTCCAACTGCCAAGGGATCTTTTATGTGCACGCCAATGTGTACACGGGACCTTGGTTTTTCGTCCCATCCGAACGACTAGACGTTGTCCCTTGCCAGGCCCTCGGTCCTGCAACACTGACAAGGAGGAACCATGCCGGAAAATCCCGATGAACTTTCTCGGCCAACGCAGGGATCGAACACGGGACCTTGAATTTAGCGAGCCAATGTCCTACTCGCTGAGCCACCGTTGCTCCCCAGATGCCAATCGGCCACCCTGCCCCCCTCCCTCCCCCAACTGCAGATGAAACAGAAGGGTTTATCAAATAATATAAAGTTGTTAATATTATACTCACAGGTTCTCCGGCAGACTAGTTTCGTCTATATCAACGTATTTTCCCGGAAAGATAATATCTGAAATAACAATTCAGTACAAAAAGTACAAAAAGACCTCTGTTTTTCGTCCCATCCGAACGATTAGACACTGTTCCTTGCCAGGCCCAGCACCACTGACAAGGGGGAATCACATCGAAAATCCTGGGGAACAAAACTGTACAATAAATTACATAGCTATATGGATGTCGATGGCATTGTTTCGACGATAATTTTCCCCATTATTATGAAGCACAATACATTTTTCATTATGTAAAATAACATTGTTCTTAATGTTAACAATAATGTGCTTGACAAGGAGAAGGTCACAAACCCCTGCAAGAGAGCAAATACCAGTAACTGAAATCCGTAAAACGTATTTTATTTAATATGACAATAACTATTTAATCAAGCCTGGAAATAAATGAAAATGGGGTTTAACGCTCTACTTTTCTGCACCATACCCGGGCTAATGACGATGGGCATACGCCATGCAGTGTGCTATGAGGGAAATTTTGACCGGACAGCGACGCTACTCTTATTTCGAATTCCAACTGCCTAGGGTTCTTTTACGTGCACGCCAACGTGTACACAAAACCTCGGTTTTTCGTCCCATCCGAACGACTAGATGCCGATGAACACCGGGATCGAACCCGAGACCTCCTGGTTAGCGAGCCAGCACTTTACTCACTGAGCCACTGCGGCTCCCTGTCACAGGCAATGTCAGGCACAAATTCATGCTTTGTCAGACACAATCCCACTGGTGCCTGTCATGTTCGGTACAGATTTATCTATTTTTCAGTTTTGAAAAAATTTAATACATATCCAGCACAAAGTTTAGGAGTTCCTGACAATTTCTGAAAAGAGAATGTGATAATCCGAAATAAACTGCCTTAATTCTAGAGAATTACCTTCAATATCCATATCTTCAAGATTTTTGCCTTTAAATTTCGATGTAAGGTTTAAGTCTTGTATAAGCAATAGTTTGCTGACTTTGGTTCTCTCAACCAAACCGCTCATCTGTCTGTAGTGTTCCTTATGGACAGATTTCGTATGTCCTAGATGGTTACATACCCATTCCATCTGGTATTTGTCGAGGCTCAACATCTGTAATAAAGGTTTATAAACATACATGCATACGCAAATTTTTAAAAATAGATTTAAATTTTAAAAAATTCTAAAGCTGCATCATGCAAGAGCTACATCTGCCTATTGCAGTTCTTTTTTCTGGCTTCAAATGTTATATAAATTATTAATTAGGCATTTATTCACATGACAAGCCCATAATCAACTCTCAAGACCATCGGATGGCAGAGATATTAAATGGATAATCAAGACTATTTCTCAAAACTTCAAACATTTATAACTTCACTCAGAATAAAGTAATTTAAAATTCTAAATATATTCATTTTTCATTATCTATTTTTGAACTTGGCCAGCTCTTTATCTAACTCTTAAATAATGCATCTTTAAGGATTGTTTGTGAAATTTCATCTAGGAATTTTCAACATTTTAAAAAGAAAGAATGAAATGGGGTTTAACGTCCTACTTTTCTTCACCTACCAGGCTAATGAAGACGGGCATAGGCCATACAGCAGTTTTTCGTCCCGTGCGAACGACTAGGCACTGTCATTGACAGGCTCTCAATCCTGCATCACTGACAAGGGGGAACCACGTTGGAAAATCCTGAGGAAATTTTGCTGCCAACACCAGGATCGAACTTAGGACGCCCAGGTTACCAAGCCAGCAACTTGCTCACTGAGCCACCCCAGCTCCATCAACATTTTAAAAGTATGTCAGAAATGGTATAATTTGAAAGAATAGGCCTTCAAACTTTTGAGAACAACTTATAATTGGCCTTGTATTGACAAGACAAGTCAGCCTAACTTTTTCAAATTCTATTACTTATGATTAACATCTGTGGTAATTATATCTCAACAATGGCAAAAACTGGTAAATGAATTTGAAACATTTTGATGTTTATACAATAAGAATGGCTGGCTCTTCAACAGAGCAATTTGAATTTAGATAATCTTTAGTTATACATGAAATAAAAATAGAATAAATAAAATGATCATTGCAGTGGTTATGCTATGATTGGTTGCTACTTGTGGCGTACAATCTGATTATGATTGGATTCTCAATTTGTTATTACCTACAGGACCAATCAAAGGGCAGGAAGCGTGGGTTTTTACCGACGATGAAGACTTGAAGGCCTCTTTAAACCAAATGACATTTTATGATGGGATAAAAATGGACTTTACAAAAAAGTAAATTCATTTTACACACGAAGGGCAAAATATTTTGTTACCTGCTAAACATCAACATACCTGGGTAAGAGTGGCTGTGTATTTCCTCATAGAAACAGAGGTAATTCTATGAGGCGCTTTAAGGTCAACCTCTAAGCACACCGACTTCAGGGACTCATAGGCCCGTGCATACGAGTTTGCTGAAAGACGAACAAATTTAAGAAATGAATAAGTTGCTCGGTGACACTAGCCATCAAAAGAAACAAACATGCATTCTTTAGGTCTGTCCCGACATAGGTATATTTGTATTAGAACCAGTCCCAACAAATGTTGCTAGTTGTAGTAACTTGGTAAAGCAAATTCTCCACAACTGTAACTGTACTGTGAGCAACTTTCGCAAACCTATAAAAGTAACTTATTTCAGAGAGATAACCACAATTTACAACATATTTGTTCAGTATTTGCCCCTTACAATGTACCTTTACTGACTAATGAACACATTTCAAGTTAAATTTCCTACCTGAATTAGGAAACAGATAAGGGTTTCCATCCATTATTGAGGATTTTTTTCTTTGCTGAATATCAGACAAAAATTGTAAAGGAGCTCGACAATCCTGTGGTATTATAACCGGTACAGGCCTTCCTCTCTAAAAAAAATATCAAAGAGTTTTCATAGCTGACATGAGTCAACAGTGAGCATTTTCAGCTCCTAATGGCTTTTTCCAGAATAGTTCTACGGTTTAGCTGTATCCAGGTGCCTCCTACCGAGAAAAATAACCTAATGTGGCGACATGTGTGAATAAGGCTTGGTCGAAATACTAATCTTTGTATACTTATCCTACATGCATTTGATTGGGGCGGTGAAATTTTAAAAAAATTTAAACTACAAAAGCACCATGTTGGAGACATAACATCAGTATTTCTACCACGCTGCATTCACGTACATAACATATCAGTATTTCTACCATGCTGCATTCACGTACATAACATATAAGTATTTCTACCACGCTGCATTAAACTGTATTAAAGTTCGTCTCAATCCTTGTTTTTTGATGCAGAATTGTTCACATACAATCCTATACAGAAAAATAAGTGTGGAAACCAGTCATAATTTAAATTGCCAAAGACATGATTCTGACCTCAAACTGGTCCCAAGGCAAAGCTGTTCATTATGCCCACCATGTATCTACATGTACTTATTATCTTTATCAATATATTTCCCCCACATTAGGCCACACAAAATAAATGTCTTGTTTCTCGGGCAACTGACAGCTGAAACTGTAGGGAGGGAGGGCAGTTTCTTTTTTTTTTTTACTCATTGATGGTGCAAAATAAAATTTGGCTATTGCTGAAAATTGTTGGGGCGGGAGGGCGGTCTTTCTTTTTTTTTTTTTTTAAATGAGAAAGTCATTACTTGTTTACGTTTTTGCTTTCCGTTATATTCAACTTTATTGTACATACTTAAAACATAAACCCAAAATCAAGTCTACTAAAACACTGAGACTGAACACTGACTGAAAGGAAAATAATTTTCCATATTTAATTCACATAATTGAAATTGGTTTAAAATAAAATTCCATACGACTATGTAATAGCCCTCCATAAAGACAACAATATTTTTAAAAACTAAGCCTCTTTCACCAGGTGTATCAAAAATAATAATCATGGTAAACAGTATTTAAAACTAAATCTAGTATCGCCGGTTTATTTATAATTATTTACCGAATTCCAACCAATGCATGTCACACCGTGTCATCGGTATTGGAGATTGCCGGAAATACTGTTTCTTGGGATATTCGGTGTGTTTCTCAGGATATTCGGTGTTCTATCCGGTGTTTATATTGAATGACTATTTAAATCTAACTAACAACTGGTCAGTAAAACCATCAAATCGGTAATCCAATTATTATTTTCCGGATTATCGAAACTACCGTAAATGTGCTAATAATGACCCAGATTCTAAGGTATGCATTATGACGACTATCGTCATCGTATCGTATTCTTAGCTATAATTAATTAACCTGTTCTACGGTTCATTATTTTATCAATAGGATTTTCCAAACAAGGACCGATTGAAGCCGGCAATAATGAGCCGATTACGATCGAATGATTGAAATATTGTCGCCAATGACTTTTAACACGAATCAAATTCTAGTTTATCAGGGGAGGTAATTAATATCACGTGATACAAAATGGAGGTTCTTTCGATATCAATAAAAAAGGCAAATCTGCCAAACTTCGCCATTGTTCGGATAAAAAAGACAGCATGTTCATCTGAATCAGTTTTAATACATTTGAATAGATATACATGTATGGCGGATGTAGGTACATGCGGGATATTTTTTTTACGACTTGCTTGTCGATGTGCGGGCGGGCGTTACATATTTATTTTTTTTCATCAAGACTAATAAATAGACTGCACGCGCAACCAATTTTGCATGCGGGCGGTGCCCGAGAAACAAGTTATTTTATTTGTGTTGCCTTACCTTGCCTCTTACTTTCATCATGTCCTGAGACACCATTAAATGTTTTTCAATATCATTCAGATCCTTTGCCAGGGATTCATCGATATCAGTCATCCCAGTACTTCTAGAAGCATAGCTGTGTAACCTGTGAATTAATCATTTATTTCATTATGTATCAGATACCAGAAGTGAAAGTAAGCGATTGTTAGAAGCCACTTACAGTCGTTGTTTTTTGTATTTTAGAGGAGAGCCGAAAAAAGCTCCCCTTAATGAACAAATTGAAAAAATCGCTCCCCTAAAAAAGCTCTCCCAGTTTCGATAAGAAGAGTGATTTAGAAATTAAGGAGAATGATCTGATATTAAGGAGAGTGATTAGTTGTTTGTATTGGAAATGGTTCTGAAGATCAACAACTGCGTGTAAGGGTCATTCTTGGTTACATATAAACATAGAACTAGAACACTAACGGGAACGCCCACTCGGTGACGTATAACGGTGATGACATATTTATGTTGTACATCGCATGCGCGAAGTCAATAAGGCACAAGTAACTTCCGGCCGTATGTCAACATGGCAGAAGCGTACGACGTCCTGGAATTTCAAGAACTTGACGGTGTAATAGATGTAAGTTATTCATAATTTTAATGAGTTTTTTTTAAATTAGTTATATAACATACCATCGGGAGTATAAACCATTTATTTTCGGACATTAAATTATCCGAACACACGTTTGTGTATCATTTTCTACTACATATTATAAAATTATTATTAATAAATTATGATGACATTCACATTTTATTTTTTTTATTTATTGTTTGTGTATATTGTTGTTAGCCTTTGGCATGTCCGTGCCAGTTTTGGCTGGTTTCCCAGTGCCCTTTTCTTGTTTATAACAAGGGGTTTTACATAGGCTAAGCCTGTTCCCCAATCCCATTCAGACATCTTGAATAAAAATATTGTTTATAAAAAAAAAAAATGTGTATTCTTTACTACAGCTTTTCTTTGCTAAAGATTTGTTTGAGACATCTCAACCTGTCGTTCCAGTAGCATCCGTAAGTTTTCTACATATACAACATACATGCATATAGTCACATAGTGTTCGTAGCAAATGGGCAAGTTATGAAACTCATTATAGTCTCGACCATGTCTATATATTTTTTTTCTTCTCAAACGATCAAATTGCTTTGGAAATGAAATGAAATGGGGTTTAACGTCCTACTGTTCTGCTCCTATGCTGGGCTAATGAAGACGGGCATACGCCATAAGGTGTGATTTAAGGGAAATTTTGCCCGGGCAGCGGCTCTATCACCTATTCTTATATCGAATTCCAACTGCCACGGGATCTTTTACGTGCATTCCAATGTATACAGGTGACCTCGGGTTTTCGTATCATCCGAAGGATTAGACAGCTGTCCTTGTCAGGCCCTCCGTACTGCATCACTGAAAAGGGGGAACCACGCCGGAAAATCTCGGCCAATGCAGGGATCGAACACCCGACCTCCAGGCTAGCGAGCCAGCGTCTTACCCACTTAGCCACGTGATCCCAAATTGCTTTGGAACAGTTTCTTTTATTTTGTATAATATTTACTTTAAAGGGACAATAACACTCTTGCTGGCTTGAAAGCTCCAGAAAATAAATAATATCTCTATCTAAGTACTAGATGTTTAAGTGTCCCACCTGTTGTGTAAATTATCCATTACATCCTATTTTACTTGTCCAGAGGGTTCGAAAATATTTTTAAATCGAAGTTTCATTTGAAAAGGTTTACGTTAGACGTTTCAAACCATTATGTTGAATTTTTTAAATAAGGTGTGTTAAGATGAAATTTGTATCATCAATTAATTGAAATATTCTAAAATAGCCTTCAAAGGCTAATATCTTCGCTCGCAATAGAGTAATTTGAATGAAATTTTCAAATTAGTCATTTTACATTTTTTATCTTCGAACTATTATAGCAAGAATGGCTAGCTCTTTATCAAAATCTTACATAATGTATATTTAAGAATAATTTAATACATTTATAAAGCTCACACATTACAAGTTGTGCACCTGTATAAAATTTATATAAATTTTGTTATCATTGTTAATATTTTATACTGAGATGCAATAAAAATAATACATCACTTTTATAAATGGATGAATGTAAATCTTGTTTGAAATGAATCCAGGTTTAACGCCCTACTTAGCACTTTTCAGCTCAATTTTGTTTTAAAGATTTGCTTTAATCTTGCAATTAAGGATGTAACAACATCATATTACGATGATAACATGTGAGAATGTTTTGAAGATTGCGTAAACGCACCCCGAACAATTCTCAATCAAAAAAATTAAACCCAACAGAATCAGTATGTTGATTTTTCTGGTACACACGTGGGGTATATAATGCAGCTTTTAAAAAGCTAGGTTTTGTGGAAGGTGCAAAGTTATGCCACGTCATCTCAGAGGTGCTATTTCATTGCGTCTCGATATATTTTGTTTACTATTATCAACCTGGCCCCAAGTTCACAAAGCATTCCCAGACTTAAGAATTTGCTCAACCTTCAATCACTGTTTTTGAGAAATATCTTTGATCCAGAAACACAAAACTTTGCACAGTTTCTTATTGATATATTTACATTAAAACAACAATAGTTAGTAAAGTGCTATATTTGAGTTAAAATAAGACAAACAATTTTGAGTAAAACCTTAACTTAAGACTGAGAATGCTTTGTGAACTTGGGGCCTTGTTTTCTTTTCATTACTTATTAACTACAATACAGTAATAACAAGAAATAAAAAATCTGTAGAACACTGCTGATTAAGTTCTAGATTTAATCCTAGATTCAATCACATTTATATTTTTATACTTCCAATATTGATATTAATTCCAATAGAGCCAGGAAATGTTTAGTTTAATTATACACTTTCTATTTTGTTGTATGAAATTATCTGTATAATCTGTGTTTTTGTTACTTTCATTGTGTGAAATGCTTGCAGCAAAGTGCTGTAAATAAAATACCTGACATCACTGATCACAGTTTAACTCTATAACTTCTCATTTGACCTCAAATCTATGTGGAGTCGAGTCAGTTGGAAGAAATAAATCAAAATGGAGTGAAATCTACATTTTAATCAAATTCATACCACATGATTATATTCTATCACTGTTTGCTCGTTTATATGGCAACTATATATTATTGCTAAGCTATTTTTGAATTGTAAATTACATTTACAAGTATGTAAATATTGATTCTTTGAATTATATATTGTCAATCAAAATCTGAATATGCAATGTGCTATGTAGCCATATATGTGAAATAAACTATTATTATTACTATTTACTTTCTCTGTAAATCTCTGTTAATCTGTCGACAACTTAAACAAATTTCTTTTTGAGTGTCCTCAACAAAACTATTACATACAGAAGCAAGTACACAGCTTTCGTAATTTCTATGTTGACTTATTTGTGTTCATGAAAATATCAACCTGTCTGATATATCTTACAGTTGTAGGCTGACATTGAGAATAAGACTGTAAATGTTTTGATGTTATGCCCCCACATATCTTCATATTCTCAACAGTTCTTATAAGTAAATCTATAGATGTAACTTTAATTTGAACAGGAAACAAAAATTATTATATTGTACTTCACAATTCAAGTCCTTGTCAATGGTTAAATGGTATGTTACACTTTTATCTTCAGTTTTAAACAGATAGATATAATCACTTGAAGACTGACATAGCCACAAAGCAGACATTTGACATAAAAATGATTTCTGCAACATCTGAAAGGTTACTTCGTTCATATGTAAACATTGAGTTTCCTCGGTTTTCCTTGGACTCTGAATAAAATAGACAAATTCATAAAATTCAATTAAAACAAGAAGAATTGGATTCTGATACATGTATTCATAATTTTCTCGGTTTCTGAATAAAATCGAAAAAATTACAAAAGTAAATATAAAGAAGAATCAGATATTCATACAAGTATTTATAAATAAAATTATGGGAGATTACAGAAAGAGCTAGCAGTTCTCATTATAATAGTTAAAAAATAGATAATGTAAAGGGAATTTGCTGAAAATTTCAGTCAAATTCATCCACCCTGAACCAAGTATTTAATGATTAAATTTTGGGCCTAGCCTCGATCAGCATTACTATAGTCGGTACGATAAAAAAAAAACCATGGTCTCGATTATCGATTTTTTGATTTAATCAGAAGTAGCAGACTGGGCTCTAATTCAGTATATATCACAGGCTAGCGATGCCATCGAGCGTTGATTATGGTCTGGATAAGTTAATTAATGTCTAATTAATAATTTAGATAACATTCCAGGCCTAAAGAAAGACCTGCAATTGACAGATTTAGCTCTTGCATAATGTCTGTTTAATATTGATGAATTAAATGTTCATATACTGATCTTTTATAAGGAAACATCGAATGTTCATATTCATAATTAAGTTAACAGAAATTTAAGTTACCGGTGACTTCCTTGGATTCAATTTCTTTGTTGTTACGCTTTTCTGTAGAAGAATTAAGGTTGATAGTCTCCCTAACCCTTCTTTTAATCTTCGATATGTGGACCCAGAATTTTTGTAAACATCTGAAATATTCATAAAATCAAAATAAAAAGGTTCCTACATACAAAACAAAAGGTTCAGATATAATTAATTTTTTTTCCATGCTTGTTGATTATTCATACCGGGAACAAGATTATTTCGGAATTTAAAAGTAAAAGGATTTGACAGGTCAAGGTCAGTCATAAATAAATATACAATTTTAATTTTTATGGAGCTGCTCAGTTAAAACTTTGACCTTTAAAAAAAAATAATAATTAGTAATTCATAAAATTAAAGTAAAAGAAGATTGTTGAGAGAGAATCGTCATGCTGTCACACACTCATCGGGTGTAGTATTCGTCAATTTCATAACAAATTGCAAGTAGACTAGGCCTAGCTACGGCACTAATGTAAACAAACCTATATGCATACAACTTTGATGAGAGAAAGGGTAAAATCTAACGGGCAAACATGAAAATACAGACATTCAGCTAGTATGGGTTTAACTTAACTTCATTGTAGGTTGTCAGGGTGGACTGCCAACTAGAATCTACATAATTAATTTCTTTTGATTTGAGTTTTCACTTACTTTTTCAACGAAATAATCCGGCTCAACGTGTCTTGAACATATTGTCAAGGTCTTGTCATTTATCGGGTCTGATCTGGTAGACTGTATGATACGTAATGATTCTCTCTCCACTCTATGTTGTTTTTGGGTAAGCGATAGAATGATCAACCCCGATTTCTTTTATTGCAGGCGGAACATCCGAACAAAACACAATTCGCGCCAGGCATTTTGTTAGTGCGAGCAGAAACCGGAAGTAAGCTGTGCCCGATATCAGCGTCAGAGGCCCGCCGTCACATAAGGAAGTGACGTCACACGGTGGGCGTTCCCGTTAGTATTCTAGTTCTATGATATAAATGATAATAAACATCGTCTGCTAAATAGCACTCGTGTAGTCGTACAGTCAAGTCAAACTTCTACTGTCGTCTATAACAACAGTACATATGGTATTCCAATAGAAATACTTGTTGACATTTCTAAATATATATAGCTTGTATAAATTTTGTTTAAAAACATACCGTAACCCCTATTCAAAAAATAATCATAAACGCTTGAAAATTCCATTAAAATATAATCTATTTCTTCCGGAATTATTCACGTGCCATTTCTCGTAATTTCTCACGTCTTGCGAGAGTTTTACTTTTCATTTCAGTTAAATTAACCAATGGTGCACAGTCGCCATCTATTTCTAGCAACATATTCATCGGAATTTTATTACCTTGTGCGATCACATTATACTAATCGAATACACCAAATAAATGTTCACAATGACAGCATGGTGGCGCTCGGAATGTGAGTCTTTCACACTCTTTTGAAAAAAAAACCAACAAATATATACATGTCCATGATTTACAAATATGGAGAGCGATTTTCAATTTTAAGGCGAGGGAGAAAAACCTCCCCTCAGTCGACATTCGGGTGCGCGACAGGCGCTCGAGAGCGATTGCGTGCCTCCAAAAACAATGACTGCACTTAAATAATATTCACCTAACAATTTTGATATGTGGATAGTTATTTTTTGTTTTAAAACCGGCCAAGATTTTTACGTCTATATCCCGAATGGCCAGTATTCCGGCCAAGCATGACGCATTGTGAATTCCATCAAGCCTTGTTACAAAGTGTTGTCTGTTGTGAGGGCCTTCCCGTGTCACGGGATATAATTAGAATCTTCCTAAAAATATCATTGTTTTACAGTCAAATACTGGCAACCGGATGTGTCACCTGATGACAAGACTTGGACATTCGTGATTACGGTATTGGTGACTTTCTTAGTAAAAAAAAAATTATAATAATAATGTATATTTATAATGTGCAAATTTCTATCAATGTATGCATGCTCAACTCAGGGTTCAAAGGGTTAAATATCCCCAGTCATATAGGTTTTATACATAAATACATGTAACTTACTTTATAGTTTCAAGTTCTCCAGTTATTAAACATCAATAGTCTCGTCTGCGTGAGAACTGTAATTCTTTTGAAGTTCTCTGGGCTCAGGGTTACATTTTGTAATGCTTGTGTTAGGAATTTGGTCAATCTCTCAATGCTCGTAGGCGATGGTAGTTCCTTAATTTCTTCATACTTTCTTCTATTGAGAACAGCTCTCGCCAAAGTGAGAATCTTTTCTTTGAATTCAACCTCCATTAATTGCAAAAAGGCTCTACATTCCTGAGCTTCAATATTATTTTCATTTCCTCTTGCTTTCACAACAAAAGCCCATTTACTATTAACAAGCCGTCGCAAATCATATTTTAATTTAATTACATTACTTGGGGACAGCAAATCTTCGGTGTCATCTGCATTTGGATATGAACATTTTAATACAAACAGCACAACATCTTCAAAAAACTGTGGGCGTAAGAAATCCCACATGGTGTAAGGACTTTGATTTTTTGAGTTATTTTCAGTCTGTTCCTCTTCATCTAGCCGCATGCAAGTCTCTTGAACGTCATGTTTGGATTTATTAAGCATTCTAAGATTCTGAAGCAACCTTGCACTCAAACGCATGCGTGCACTAGCATAGTATTTTCTTTTTTCCACATTTGATATATTTCTTTTTTCGCAACCAGCTCTCATCCAGGGCCATTATGAGGGTATCCTCTTGAGCAGTCGCAGAGATCTCATCATCGGTCATAATACTTAACACTTCTTTCTGTATTAGTAGAGATTGTTTTGATTGAATATGGCCTGCAAGAATTTGTGCAAGCACTACAAGGTCCTTTTTCCGCTTTTTAGTTGTCAATTTAAGCTTCTTTATACACTGATCATTATGAGACTTCAATCCTTTAAGCTGGACCCATTCTCTACAATCCGGACATGGTCCATACTGTGAAACATCAAACAAGTCTTTTGGACGTCTAGCCAAAATGATTTCCCCTTCCTGTTGTGTTTGTCATCTCCAAGTTTTCTAAGAGCTGTGAAATCTTGTTTGTCAGACTTTAATACAATCTTAACCTCTTCTGTCGTTCTATGAGTTTTTAAATGTTCATTCATGTGCAACACGATTTTATCACAAAAGTAACAGGCATGCGTATTGTCATAAATACGTGTGTCCTTACTTTGTCCACGGAATTCCCTTGGTCTCTTCAATTTGTACTTTTTTATATATATGCCTTTGATGTTGCAGTCTCTGATGAGGTCTGTTTCCTTCCACCCTGAGTGCATCACCTCAGCCTTGTCAACAATCTCTATGTCTAGTTGCGACCTCTGCGTTTCTTCCTCGTCATTTACATTGGTTTTCTCTTTTTGAAGAATCAGACACACTTGTTCTCTTTACTGTTTTCTGAGATTTGATTGGGGGAACTGTTTTATCTGACTTGGACACACTGGTACAGACTCTCTTTACCGCCTTCTCAAATACGATTGGTGGTCTTCATTAGCTCAGTTTAGGAGCAGAACAGTAGGACGTACGTTAAACCCGATTTCATTTCATTTTTCTCGACCAACACGGAAATTGAACCCCTCATTTGCTAGCCAGTATTACTAGAGAGAGAGAGAGAGAAATGGGGTTTAACGTCTACTCGACACAAACTAGGTCATTTCGGGACTAACATATGGTTTAATTTTTATTTACACAATTCGCTTGCGCGTAGGGGTCTTTAGCAGTGGCAGAAAACCGGAGGTTGGACAGGCGACCCTACTCCTTGTCACGTACAACCGTGGATTCGAAACCACGCCAGTCAACTCAATGACAGACTTTATGATACAGCGCCCGTACGCTAACCATTCAGCCATCCAACCCCCCCGTTACTAATTACTAAGTTTGTGAAATGTAGGTTTTTCCTCATGTAGGTTTGTCCTGATGAAATCGGTTTATTGTCCTACTGTTCTGCTCCGACTGGGCTAATGAAGACAGGTACATACCATACAATGTGCTATGAGGGAAATTTTGCCCCAGCAGCGGCACTATGGCCTACTAATATCGAATCCAACTGCCAAGTGATCTTTTCGTGCAAGCAAATGTATACATGGTACCTCGGTTTTTTGTCCCATCTGAGTGACTAGACTACTGTCCTTGTTCCTGCACCTCTGACAAGGGGAAACCATGTCGGGGATCGAACACGTGCCCTCCGGATTACCGAGCCAGCATCTTACGCACTTAGCCATCGTGGCTTTATCAAAATTAGTAATGAAGATGTGCTATGACAGAAATTTTGCCTGGACAGCAGCATTACCGCACTTACTAATGAAGATGTGCTAGGAAAGACATTTTGCCTGGAGAGCAGCATTTCCGCATATAGTCATTACCAATAGTTCTAAGTGCACGCCAACCTGTAAAACAGGTCTTTACACACTTTTCCATCATTACCAATTACTAGTCTGCGGGTTCACTAGTCTGTGGGTGCACTAATCCGTGCATTCACTAGTCCACTAGTCTGACTCTAAAAAATACTATAAATATGAGTATTAAAGAAACGCAGTAGATATGGTGACTGATATCACCCTTCGTAAGGCAATAACCCAACATTACGGCATTTTACCCCGAAATCACAACATTTTAACCATTATAGCATATGCCCTTCTTCATTAGCCCACTTGGAACAAAATAGTAGGATGTTCAAACCCCATTTAAAATTCATTTTCATACTTTTCTGCACCAATCGGACTATTGAAGATAGTCATACGCAATGCAGAGTGCAAGGGATCTGGCAAGGGATAAGGTATAGTTGTTCGGGTCATACGAAAAATCAAGTCCTCATGTACATATTGGCATGCACGTAAAAGACACCCCGACAGTTGTAATTCAATATCAGAGTAGGCCATAGTGCCGCTATCCGTGCAAAGTTTCCGTCATAGTACACTGTATATAGTGTATGCCTGTCTTCATTAGCTCACTCTGAGGAAAACAGTAGGATGTTTAATCTCATTTAATTTTATTTAATTTTCCTACTTTTCTGCACCAATGGGACTATAAAAGAAAGGCTGGCAAGCGGACGAGTGCACCCGTTGACTATTGAGCATCATTTACTTGAAAACGTTGAGAGAACCCTCAACGAAATGTCGCTTTAATTAAAATAGTAATTGTGTTTTTTGTTGTATCATCGAGTCAAGTGAACGTTAAACCCCATTTCTCTCTCTCTCAATTTTGATACCCAAAAATTTGACAAAACAAATAATGATTGATTGTCGGAAACTGTTTCATAAAGCAAAGATGTTCTCTACTAAAAGGTTATCACTGTCCAAATGTTCGGAGTAGTCCACACCTAGGCCGACTATGCATGAAGTGTTTTTATAATTAAATTTATTAAATATAGTACCTTGCACCAGTAAATATAAAATTAATGATCCTTTCACCAGTAAATATAAAATTCATAGGCCGACAATGCATTAAGTGTTTTTATAATTAAAGTTATTAAATGTAGTACCTTGCACCAGTAAATATAAACTTAATGATCCTTGGACCAGTAAATATAATATTCATGATCATTATTTATATACTATTCAAAAAAAGTAGGGGATATTTGATTTTTAAGTGTTATTAAAGTCACCTAATGAAACTGACGAAGAAACAAATGACAAAATGAAATGAAGTTCACATTCATCGATTTATTCCAAATGATCGTTAGACTAAGTAAGGCACAGACTGACCATTATAAGGGTAAAATGATACCCGGGGTCAAACAGCAAAGTTACCACAGCATCACAACCAAGTCAGTAACGGGTAAATCCTCCTCTGTTTGCCAAACAAGCATTGATCCGACGTGGCATACTCCTAATGAGACGTCTAAGGTCATTTTGGTCCAGATTGTCCCATTCCTGTTGCAACGCAGCAGCAAGTTCTTGGACATTGGCAGGACGTT